CTTCTCAAGCTTACACACTCTATTCGGATGCTTCGGATCCACAAACCCCTCTGGCTGAGCCATGTAAACATCCTCAGCCAACTTTCCGTTAAGGAAAGCGGTCTTGACATCCATTTGCCAAATCTCATAATCATGAAATGCGGCAATTGCTAGCATCACTCTAATAGATTTAATCTTCGCAACTGGTGAGAAGGTCTCATCATAGTCAACTCCGGGAGTTTGAGTAAAGCCCTTCGCAACCAATCGCGCTTTATATGTGTGTACGTTCCCATCCACGTCGGTCTTCTTCTTGAAGATCCACTTGCACCCTACGGTCTTACGTTCGGGCACGTAATCAACCAAATTCCAAACTTGGTTATCGTACATGGATTGGATCTCGCTATCCATCGCCTCTTTCCATTTCGCAGACTCCGGGCCTGCCATGGCTTCCTTATAGCTATTAGGTTCATCAAGATTTACTAGTGTACCATCACTAATATACGTGTCCCCTTCGGTAGTAATATGAAAACCATAAAACTGGGGATGAACTCTAACTCTATCGGAACGTCTAAGAGGTAAGGATTCGTCAATCGGTTCAACCGGAGTTTCCTCCTCGGGTTGAATGCCAGCGGTAGAGGTTCCTTCATCTATCGATTCTTGAATCTCTTCAAGTTCGATTTGCCTCCCACTGTCTCCTTGGCTTATGAGTTCTCGCTCTCGGAAAACTCCTCTCCTCGCAACAAAGATAACATTATCTTTCGGTCTATAGAAGAGATATCCAAAGGAAGTTTGCGGGTAGCCGATGAAAATACATCGCTCACTTCGAGGTTCAAGCTTGTCGTGAGTATCTCGTCTTACGAAAGCCTCGCAACCCCAAACCTTGATATGTGCCAACGAGGGAGCTTTCCCGTCCACATCTCGTGAGGTGTTTTGGCAACCTTCTTAGTAGGGACTCGGTTAAGGATATGGGCGGCAGTCTCTAAGGCATACCCCCAAAAGAAGATAGGTAGTGAAGCACGACTCATCATAGAGCGAACCATATCCAATAAGGTTCGATTACGCCTTTCTGCCACACCATTCAACTGCGGTGTCCTAGGAGGCGTCAATTGCGAAACTATTCCACACTCCTTGAGATAATCGTGGAATTCAAGACTTAGGTACTCTCCTCCTCGATCGGATCGAAGCATCTTGATTTTCCTGCCCAATTGATTCTCCACTTCATTCTTGAACTCTTTGAACTTTTCAAAGGTTTCTGACTTTTGCTTGATTAAATAGATATACCCATATCTACTATAATCATCGGTAAAAGTCACATAGAAGCGGTTCCCATCCTTCGTGGTTGATCTAAAAGGTCCACATACATCGGTATGTATTAGGTCTAATAGTCCCTCACCCCTTTCACAAGTACTCGTGAAGGGTGACTTAGTCATCTTTCCAAGTAAACAAGACTCGCATGTGTCATCTTCCCTAAGGTCGAATGACTCCAACACTCCATCCTTTTGGAGTTGGGCTATGCGTTTCTTGTTGACATGTCCAAGACGACAATGCCACAAGGATGCTTTATCCATACTAGTGGAAGAATCAATATTCAAAACATCATTTCCTAAGTTATCAACAATCATAACAGTTTCATATATTCCATTACATGGTATAGCTTCAAAGTAAAAGACACCATTTAGATAAGCCAAAATAGAACCATTCTCATTATTAAAAGAAAATCTAAATCCTTGTCTATATAAACCATGAAATGAAATGATGTTTCTAGCCATTTCTGGCGAATAGCAACAATTGTTCAAATCTAAAACTAAACTATTCTTAAGCACTAAAGAATACACTCCAATCTTGGTCACAGGCGACGATCTTCTGTTCCCCATGATTAGATTGATCCTTCCTTGCTCCACATCCCTACTTCTTCTTAGTCCCTGCACATTAGAACAAATGTGATAACCACAACCGGTGTCAAGAACCCAAGAAATAGCATGATTAGAATCGTTAGATTTGATTGCATATATACCTGCGAAAGATGGCTTGATCTTTCCTTCCTTGATGGCTTGCAGGTAATCCGGGCAGCTTCTCTTCCAATGTCCTATCTTGTGGCAGTGGTGGCACTCTGCCTCCTTCGGGTTAGAGCAGGGCTTAGAGGGATCAACTTTGGTCCCACTAGAAGAGGAACCATCTCGGGCTTTCACCTTTCGATAGTTATTTGAAGAAGCTTTCCTCTTCTTTCCCTTCCCTTGACCAATAGCCAAGACAGGAGCAGCGGATGGATTGGGAGTTGGTGCAACAGACTTGTCCTTGAAATTGCTCTCAGCAACCCTCAAGAGACCTTGGAGTTTACTTAGAGTGACCTCCTCTTTGTTCATGTGGTAGGTCATCCTAAATTGATTGTACATCGGAGGCAAAGAGTGAAGCACCATGTCGATCGCCAAGTCTTCGCCGAAGTCAACATTTAACTTGCGAAGGCGGTCGACATACCTTTGCATCTTTTGCAAGTGCACGGTAAGAGATTCTCCATGACCCATCTTGGCGGAAATCATGTTAGTGAAGATCTCGTAACGCTCTTGTCTCGCGTTTTGGTGGTACCTCTCCAACAAGTCTTGATGCATTCGTATGGATACATGTCCTCGTAGGACTTTTGGAATTCGGAGTTCATGGTGGCGATCATGATGCAATGTACCTTCGTTGCATCTCGCTCATGAGTTTCAAAGGCGGTGATTTCGGCGGAGTAGCAACTTCGGGGTTGATTTTCTCGAGCTTCTCATCGAGGACATACTCTTTATCCTCATAGCGAGCAATGGTGCGAATGTATCTTATCCATTCGCCAAAGTTCGTTCCATCGAAGGTGACCTTTTGGCAAAGGCTCATCAACGTGAAAGAACTAGCAGCAGCGTTGTTTGCGTTTGACATCTATAGAAAGGACAAAGATAGATTAGAATAAGAATCCCTAATTATCACCCAATAAGAAAAATTAGGGCTAGGATCCAACAATAACATTTACATACTAGAAAAGGGATGCCGTAATCTAACATGCAAATAAATTGAAGGTAAGTGAATGACGATTCACTAATTCTCCATCACAAAACTTAAACTTTTAGTCCTAAGTGTTTTTGAGAATTCCTAGGTTCGGATGAGATTCATTGAACTATTCAATGGCATGTTTAAATCTCGATATGCCCCTCTTGTTTGTGACTGGGATGCCGAGGATCACAAAGCGGGTGTGAATTACCATGCAAATTCACATGGTGCCTTCATTGTAACGATCACCTATTCGATGTGCCGGTAAACCACACACGCTCCATCGAACTATGATAAACAATGAATCACCCTTTGCCACCTTCGCTTAGAACCAATTAGTGTGCCGGTAAACCACACACGCTCCACTAACATCTTAGCAAGGTGCAAAGTGTAATTTCATGGGATTGCATCAATTCACTTTTCCTAAAGTAACTAAGATTGGGAAATTTTAAAAAAATTTAGTTACTTCGTATTTCTTATTATACTTTTAATGAGAGGATGAGGTTGCCCTATCCTACCCGTTCGGCTAACGACCCTCCACCAATCAAGCAAGCGGTGGGTGTGAGTGTACACCCATTAAGCGCCATTTTATAGGCCGCAACCTTATACCCACCTTATAGATCGGCTTCGTGAATGAGGCCTACTAGCGGTAAGACTAGCATTTAGTTATACATATATATATTATCTAGTAATATCATATAAGTATAGGGTTACATTTTAAACTTTTCAAAATCTAGGGTTTGAAATTTAAGTTGTCTAAATTAAAACTTTTAATCACAAATATAAATTTCAAAACTTTAGGGTAGGTTTTAAACATTTAAAACATGAAGGATCAAATAACAAATAATTCCAATTAACAATTAATATTCTAATTATCTTTATTTGATTTATCTTGATTTCTTTGAAGATAATTACCAAAATAATTAATCATTATCATATAAGGAAATTAAATATTTTATTAGATGATAAATATCTTTAATTAGATCAAGATAATAGTCATATTTATCAAAAAATCGGATTTACATTGATCTAATATGATTAAGGTAAGTTTCCATAAGATAATTATGAAAAAATCCCGAATCTGGCCATTCCTGACGCCTGGACTCGCCGAGTGCACAAGGGGACTCGCCGAGTCAGGCCTACTCGACGAGTCCACCTTGGAACTCGACGAGTCAGTGACTCAAAACCCAAAAAATCGAATTTTGCAGGTTTGTTTCAGTTAATTCAAGCAACAATTTAAAGAAAACCAATCTAGGCTCTGATACCACTGTTGGGTTTTAGCCATAAGAACTTTCCTATGTGCGCATGCAAAACCCTATTGCTTGGATCTAGGCTTTCTAATAAACATGCTTTTGAATCCAAGACTTCTAATGGCTAATTAGGTTAAACAACAATATTAAAACAGATCTAGAATCATACCTTTGAATCCCTTGTTGATCTTGTTTGTCTTGGAGCTTCTAGAGTCACAATTGTCACTCCTCTAATGGCTTACAAACACCAATAGCAAGCAAGATGATTTAGGAGAGAGGAGAGGGGATGGAATTCGACCAGAGGTTCCTTTCTTCAGGTTCTACAAGGTTGTACACGAATTCCCCATCCCAAGGGCCTATTTATACCTTTAGACTCCTTAAGGGTTTCACCCTAAACCCTAATTGGATAATCTTCTCTTAAGGCTATCCAAATCCATTCCATAGATAACCCTATGGACGATTTTAGCTTATCTAAAGCTCTTAGAATACGTCCAAGGTGTATCCTAATGGATTTCTAGTCTAAAGTCTAACTATCAAACAATTGACAGTTTATACCCTCTTATTTAATTAATCTCTTTAAGTCACCAAATTAATACCAATTAATTTATGACTTATATTAATCAAATAGCCATATATTATTCCTTTATAATATTTACTCTCTCTTAACAAATCATCCTTCAAGTTGCTATGGTGAAGGCAACCCAAAAGGACCATGCACAACCGAATATAGTTATAGCCTTAGACACTATTCCAACACTAGTATCTCTTCCGGTCATCGTGTTGGATTCAAAAAGCTCTTATCGGATATTGCTTCTATTACTAGAGATGATGATGAATCAGGAGGTATGAGTGAGTTGGATAACTACTTGAAGGAGAAATTGTTGCCTAAAGATATGGAACTTGATTTGTTGGCATGGTGGAAAACAAATGGGATTAAGTACCCGACACTACAAAGGATAGCTAAAGATATATTAGCTATTCCTGTTTCCACTGTTACCTCGGAATCAGCTTTCAGCACTAGTGGAAGATTAGTAAGTCCTCATCGTAGTCGACTTCATCCAAAGACATTGGAGGCTTTAATGTGTGCTCAAAGTTGGTTGTTGAATGAAATTCGAGGTAGTATACTATTTTATATTAATTATATGAAATTGTGATTTTTATTTGAATATTAATAATATTAATTTTATGCAGCAACTTGTTCTGAAGAGACCGACGCATATTGTCGTTCTGTTGAATTTGATTATGATGTGGAAGAGGTAAAACGACACTTCTAAAAATATTAATTTTATATCATTTCCATGATTTTGTTTGATTTTGAGTTTGTTTAATATTTTGTAGGAAAACACTAAAGAAAGCGGGACAACAAGTTTGGATGATTTTGTTTGATTTTGAGTTTGTAACTTTGTTTTAATGTTAATTGGTAATGTATTATTGTGATTAATTAGTTTTTCATGTTGTATACTTGGATGTTTTGGTTGGTTGGTTGATGTTACAATATTAGACTATTAGTAATTTCTATTTGGTTAAATGATTTAAGAACTTATTTTGTATTTTAAGCCTATGCAACGTCTTAATTTATCATTATGTATTTATAGTTTTTCCTTTTTTTTTCCTGCCATATTTCGGGTTATAGGGTCGGGTTATCGGGTAATTATCGGGTTTCAGGTTTAAGGTCGGGTTCGGGGAAAGTTTCAGCCCCGACGGGGCACCCCGATAAGAAACCCATCGGGTATCGGGTCGGGTTTGGGTACATGTGTGAAAATCGGGTTCGGGTTTGGGACACTATGCCCCGCCCCAAACCCGCCCCATTGCCATTCCTACCTCAAACTGATGGTTAAAGCGAGAGAATGATCCAGACATTAGAAGACATGTTGTGTGCATGCGTGCTAGATTTCAGATGAAGTTCGGATACATATCTCCCACTGGTAGAGTTCTCATACAATAACAGTTACCATGCTAGTATCGATCAAGCCCCATTCGAGATGTTATATGGTCGGAGGTGCAGGACCCCCGTATGGTGGGACGAGGTCGGTCATCGGGACATGGGGAGCTCGGAAGTGGTACTCAATACCACCAGGTTGATTCAGCAGGTGTATGACTGGCTACGGGTCGCGCAGAGCCGACATAAGAGTTATGCCGACCGACGGCGATCAGATCTTGAGTTTCAAGTGGGGGGATTTTGTTTTATTAAAGGTGTCACCGTGGAAGGGGGATTATCAGGTTCCGTAAGAAAGGCAAGTTGGGTCCTCAATTTATAGGTCCATTCAGGATCCTAGCCCGAGTAGGCAAGGTGGCCTGTCTATTGGAGCTCCCCGAGGAGCTTAGTCAGATTCATAACACCTTCCACGTATCCCAGCTTTGGAAGTATATTGCTGACGAGTCCGCGGTTATACCCTTGGATGACATTCAGGTGGATAGGGGATTGAATTATGTAGAAAGGACAATTTCCATACTAGACAGGAGACGAAGATGCTTTGGAATAAGGTGGTAAGGATGGTAAAGGTGCAATGACAACATCGAAGGGGCTCCGAGTGGACTTGGGAGCCCGAGGAGGAGATGCGGGAAAATTACCCTGATCTGTTTGCCTCTACGAACTTCGAGGGCGAAGTCTAGTTCAAGTGGGGGAGAGTTGTAACATCTAAAATAAAAAGGTATGTCATGAACCCGATTTAGAATTTGAATTGTTGAATTTTTGGTCCCTTAGTACGCTGGGCGTACTTAGGAGTACGCTTAGCGTACTAGGTCCTTTTATGGACATGGGTGTTGGGAGGTACGCTGGGCGTACCAGGGTGTACACAGGGCATACACGTCAGGGGCCAGAAAACCCTAATGACGGACTTGAGGCATATATAAATGACTTTAAGCCCTTAGGGCTAAACCCTGGAGAGCCTCCACTACCCTTAAACGTCATTTTAATGTTGGGAGCTTTGAGGAATCATTTTTTGAGCTCTTAAGGTGTATTTTTGTGCTCTCTAGTGTTCATTTCAAAGAGAAGGGTTGGTATAACAAGCTTGGAACAGGAGGGAGCTTCAAGATCTTGCATCATAATCATATTTCAGAGCTTTTGGAGGTAAAAATCTTGCACCTTTCCTTTTTGCTCTTTAGTTTTAGCTAGGGTTTTTGTAGTTGGTTCTCTTGATGGATTTTCGACCTCGTTTGTTGGCTAGAACATCCCCATTCGTAAATAAGGTCAGATCTGGGGTCCTTAAACAAACTGGGGGTATAAAAATAGGATCTTGGTGGAAGTCATAACCTTGTGCATGAATGAGAGGCTTGGGAAAGGTCTTAATGATGACTTTGGGGGCTTAATGGACATGCAAAGGCATAAAGTTAGCAACTTTATGCCCTAGGAGGTATTAAAGGACTCAGATCTAGATTTTGGTCGTAAAAGAATGAAGTAATAGGCACTTAATGGAGAAAGTGCTTAAGTGAGACTTACGTCGGGCGTACTCCAAATACGCTACGCGTAACCCATGAAGACCTGGTACGTTGTGCATACCTGGAGCGTACGCTGAACAGTTTGGGTTAATATTATTTTGGGCTGTCAAACTTTTGGGCCTCTTATGGGTTTTGGGCCTGTTTGGATTCTGACGGTAAAGCCTTTTATCAAATGGATCATGGACATATTAAGTAGGCCCATTAAGGACATTGGACTTAGATAATGGGCCTATTTGCAATGTAAGGGTATTTGGGCCTTTGGGGTTAGGGTTTAAAGGTTGGGCCTTCCCTTGGGATAATTTATGGACCAATCATTGATGATATTATTATTATTGTTATTATCCAGTTGGGAGGTTGCGGGTCTTTGAGGGTGCATTATTTGTATTCTTCGGGAAAAGGTGAGCCTTCTCACCATACCCGTGGGTCTACGGACCAAGGCCGGCCCATTATGTGGTTATCATTTATGTGATTACTCTGTGTCTTGATATGTATTATGATCTTATGTTTTGCATGAAGACCCCGGGGGGAGCCCGTGGCCTTGGGTGTAAGACCATGTGGGGTAGCCCATGGCAGTCCAAGTAAAGACCATGTGGGGTAGCCCATGGCCTTGGGTGTAAGACCATGCGGGGTAGCCCACGACACTCCAAGTAAAGACCATGTGGGGTAGCCCATGGCCTTGGGTGTAAGACCATGTGGGGTAGCCCATGGCAGTCCAAGTAAAGACTATGTGGGGTAGCCCATGACATTTTGCTGGTTCTTTGTATACATGGCTTATATGACTTGTACTTGAGCCGAAAGGCAAGGGCAACGCTTGATGGCGCGACGTGCACTCTATCTATCTATATCTTTGTTCCTCGATATGTTGGGGACCTACTATGATATTTATATATCATGTAAAAGACGATGTTTTAACTAAACGTGTGTTTTATGGATTTCATGATGTTATATATATATATATATATATATATATATATATATATATATATATATATATATATATATATATATCTAAATTAAATGAAAAAAAATTCGTTGTAAAATCAGGCTGTTAAAAGTTGGTATCAGAGCCTTGGTTTGAGAGATTTAGGCACACTCTCGAGTGTGTCGGGACTCAAACTAAGGAAATGGTAGAAATGTTTTCAAAATAATAACAAGAAAAACAAAAAATGATAGTGCACTCCACGTAATTAGCTGAGCCAAGTAAGTAATTCCGCTATATGTTTGCTATGTTATACTGAATCGAACCATGTTGCTTATGTGAAATTTGCTATGTGTATCCTTTTAAAATTGTATACGGTTAGGACCTTATAGCCTCAGAATGATTGGTTTGGGCTTATTTCCTGTTGCTTGTTTGGTTGTGGCTTTAGGGTAGAATATTTTATTCGAAAGTCTATTTGATCCCTTATATGTGTATAATTTGCATGCATAAGAGCAACCTGTTATGACAATGTGATTGCTAGGAGTAGAGGAACCTTTGAGTTGACCAGTGATTTTATTGTGTGTTAAATGTGGGGTATGGTTCAATCATGGGAAAATTTGGAGTTTTTGGATTGAGCAGTGGAGATGGGTATAGGTATGTGTGGAAGGTAGTAATGGGCCTGTACTTCTGGAAGCACAGGTTCTGTGCCCATAGCACTGATGGATCCGGAAACCCCAACGAGCGCCAGTGTGGGATCGCCTCTTATATGAAAAACCCTAATGTTTGTTATTTATGGAATTTCAGTTATCATGGTGGTGACACGATTTGGAGCAGGAGGGTCAGGATCGAGATCGGGAACCGGGGCATAATTGAGAGACACAACCGATGTCATTGATGAGAGGCTGCGAGAACTCATTGCAGCCGAGGTTACCAGTGGCATCCTGGACGCAACCCTAGTCATTTTTGGAACGGTCAAGGAGGTTATTATGGAGGAGAGACTCAGATCTTTCAAGAAGGAGATGGCAGCAGGACAGATCGGGACCCGAACTCCCTTCTTCCGGGAGTTCAAGGCGTGTGTGGCGCTGGAATTCTTCGCGTCAGGGACCCCATTGTCAGCCGTCGCTGGGTAGCAGATATTGAGAATGCCCAACGCACGAGCTCCTACCCGGAAGTGGCAAAGGTTGGGTTTGCTTTGTGTATGTTGAGAGACACGGCTCACGACTGGTGGGTGAGGTTACCAGCCAGGCAGGGCCAGCTGGAGTGGCCGAGATGTCATGGGCTGAGTTCGTTCGACGGTTTGATTCGGAGTTTGCACCGCCTATTAAGGTGAAACGGCTAGTAAGGGAGTTTCACGATTTGCAGTAGACCACCGAGACTATGGCGCAAATCACCGCCAAGTTTTGAGAGCAAGCTTTATTGATTCTGCAGTATGCTACCGATGAGGAAATGAGGTAGACCCGATATCATTCCATGCTGAGGGACGATATCCGGGAGTTTGTGAGTTTTACAGGGTGCAAGACCCTAAACGAGATGGTGGAGAAGGCCCGTGAGAGGGAAATAGAGTTGGATACTCACACAAAGCGGAAGAATGATCAGGCACATGTGGCGGGGGGGGGGGGTCAGGTTAAGAAGCCTAAGCCCTCTGATTCTTCGGGTAAGGGTCAACAAAGCCGGGGCCGGTGTGCCAAGTGTGGGAGATGTTGGATAAGATGTCTAAGTCCATAACAATTTTTGGTATGTACTTGACCCGACCCGGCATGGTCCATTTGGGTTGCATGGCATCATGCAATTGGATAGACTAAATGAAAGAAATAACACTTGGAGATTATTAATATATTATAAGTTCTAATATATTAATAATATTATTTGATTAGTTTGATCAAGAATTAATTTAGAATTAATTAAGTGATCAAAAGATAACTAATTAAATATATGGGTTGATTATGTAAATCATCCATATCTTGTATAGTGGGCTAAAAGGCTCCATGGACTATCAAGTTGGGTTCCACCCATAGGATGCTCCATGGGAGTTACAAACCCATGGGTCATGGAAATGAAGAGTCATGACACATTAGGGTTTAACCCTAGATGTGTCAACACTATATAAGTAACATGTTCTCCACCTAAAATCGGCTACACTAAGAAATAAGAGGGCTTGGCCGATTTTGAAGA